AAGAATACGCACATAAACTTATATTTTAAGTGTGTAGCCAAACAGGGGGTTTCAACTGGGTTTTTATTATAATTCTTACAAGAACAGGGAAACAAGGAACCTCCTGTCGGCTTATTCCTCCAGGAGTTCACAGCTGGTGACTCCATGACTCAGGACTTTTCAGCTCCTAACCACCACTACAAATGCAGAGCACTATGCTTCAGGTTTAGTCAGTTGAACCTAATGAAACTTAGGTTTCTGCTAAGGAAAAAAAAAAAAAAAAGAGAAATTTATTCCACAAGCAGAACATCACCTTTCTATTTAATGTCCTCTCAACTACATGCTTCGAATCCTCACGGTCATTTCACTTATAGAAACACTTCTGCCTAAGGAAAGAGGAAAGCAAAATCCCCAGGGGGTTGGAATTCTGTCTCTTGGGATCTTCTGTTTGTGAATTATTAAACCTTGCCTGTCACTTCTGTTGACGTTGTACCTTATTACAAGAGGAAGCCAGTGAAATGGAGAGCAGCCATTATTCTCTCCTAGCAACAAAGGCAGTAGTTAAATAGCACGTGCTATGCTTAACCCAGACCAGGTAACAAAACTCAAAGTTCCCTGAAAACAAGTGCATCACACTTGACAAGATGAATTGTACTTGTGTAATAGTATTTCAAACTAAAAAGAGGGAAAGGAACATGAAATTTTCTGAACTGACTGTAGACCTTTATTCTCAGTCCAGATTTTTTTTTTATTTTAGAAAAATTGAAAGGGAAAGCCATTAAAGAGACAGAAACAGTGAAATGTCATTCTGATCTCAAACTAGGTGACTTGGCAAGATATCACTGCTAGATTTTAGTTCTTGCTCTTTTTGCCTCAGATATCACATAAGAATGCAAAGCCAGAAAGGAATGTAGAAGCACCCAGACTCCTATAGCAAGAACACAGGCAGTTTAAGAGTTCAAACATCCCACAAAGCATGTTTTAAAGAGCACCAAGAGTCGGCGTAAATGTTCTTGCAGTGGTCCAAGGCAACATCTCCAGGCATATCAGCAAATCCACTTAGAAGAGTCATCCCATGACCCAATTACAACACAGTTTTATTTTGGAGATCACTCAGCTGTGCCTCAGCAACAAAACAAGAGTCTGGAGCCATCCCAGAGCAAGTCTGCTTGCAGAAAGTTTTCACATATACAAAGCCATAATTATGTTAAGTCAGCGCATTTTTCCCTCCTACAAATGTCACACAGTGATTAAAAAAAAAAAAAAGCAGAAGAGAAAAGTAATGGCTCTCTCTAAAAAAAATAGGTCAACAGTAACCTAAGTTCTAGCTGGTAGGAGATGGGAAAAGAACTAACTAGAAATTAAAGAGAATTCAAACAAGGTTCAAATTCAGGATACCTCCTTGCAATTGCTGTTACTAAGTGAGTCTCAAATTGTATTCCAAAATTTTAGTCACACATTGCTGCCTTTTCTCTCTTGCCACTGCTGTCTACATCATAAGAAGTGAGGTGACTCCTTCATTCACATTAACAGCAGCAGCATCAAATTCCAAAAGGTTTTCTTTTCAGTTGAATCTGTACTCCAAGGAGTACATATCAACCACACTTATAAAATATTTACAGGTTTATCTCACTTCAGAGAGATTTCTTCATTATAATGTTTAGAGCTGCAAAAGGTGAAGTAAACAGAATATTAAGCCAATTCTCTTTCATCTAAGGATAAGATTTACAGAATTGTAAGTCCTGGAATCTAACAAATGTTGCTTGTTAATTTTAAGGTCACTGGTGGCTAAATAAAAATATCCAAGGACTAACAGAGAGTCCTTGGATATTTTATTTCAGAGATGCTGAGAGGCTTTTAAAAGGAATTTTAAACTTACCTGTCTTCTCTGGTTTACAAGTCTAGCTAAAATAATTAGCGAAGTATTTTGTCTTTTTTCTCCTCAAAATTATGGTGCACAAAGTACTCAAGTCCAGCAGGCACAGAGATTCCTGACAACCTCAACTACACTCAAGTTTTTCTAAAGTGGAAAGGGCTTTTGGCCAGACAACAGTACCACTTCTGAAGTCTTCAACTTCTCTTAATCTGTGAGCTCCTAATGTTCTGAAAATTGAGCTTATTGGCAACAGGTTGTTTTTCTTCATTAACTTTGGGAGACACTGAGGAAATATCCCAGAGTTCACAAACTGAAAGCCACTAACTGATGTATGGCTGGACCCCAAGGAAGCATCCAAATGAGGGCAGGACTGCTGTAGCTGACATCCAGTTTTGTAGTCTCTGTAGACTCAGTCAAGATTTTTGCCCCTTGAAAATTCTGTTCTTCTTACATGACATCTGCAAATCAGAAGCTGAACCATATTTGGAATGCAGCATGTGGGAAGCTCTAAATATTCCTGTACACTGTGTGATTAGTGTGCAAAAGGGCAAAGTCCATTGGTCCCAAAGATTCTAAAACACATACTACCATAAGAAATAAATTTCCTTCACAATATTTTTAAAGCCTACAATAAATTAGAATTACTTTTACCTGAATGTTTCTACACTAGTAATTTCATGGTAAGTCTCCAAATGGACTTTCCCAAATAAGAGAGAAGGTCTAGCACTTACCAAGACCATGACACAGCAACATCAAGCTTATAATTTTCTAAAGCACTAAGACAGTTGTGCCATGTTTACCTGAAAGCCAAACTTGAAAATGAAGTTAATTCCAGTTGCAGCCAGTTCCAGTGGAAGAAAGTCTAACACAACACAGCATTTGCAAGTGACAGCCTGTAGATGGCCTAAATCCAAGATCTCTGCTGTCTATCCATCATCATGTATCCCACAGTACATATACAAAAAAATATGCATTAATTTTTGACTGGTAATGTCCTACTCTGTCCATCATATAAAATACTTCCAATATCTTCATGTGTATTTTTTACATTGCTCAACAGTAAAGGCATTCCACCCCTGGGGGGAAAGAATGGAAAAAAAAAAAAGCTGCCAACCAGTTTTTAGGTACAGATTTGTTAAGCTTTACCTGTAGTATCTTCATTGCCATGAAGTGACAGTTATTATGTATCACATTACCTTTTCCATAATATCCACTGTTTGGACAACTGACAATTATTTTAGCAAACAAGAATTCTAGTAACCAGATTAACAACTTCTGGATAATTTTACTATTTTTGTCTCAGAAAAAGAAGAACCTTCCTAAGAATACAGACATTTGTCTTCCTCAAATTTATTCCAATGCTGATGAACATTCCAGAAAAATAAACACCTCTAAAAATAACAAGCCTTACAGATCTATTTTAAAACTATGTACTTTTCTTTAGGCTCATGTATTCTAGTTTTCTTACCTTAACCATGGGGACTAAGAAAGCCAAAGAAATGGATGTTTCTTTAATAAACTGGGATGGGAGGGAAGCAGTTATCCTATGAACTGCCATTATTGTTAGCCTTTTTCTGGAGGGCACACATAAAAGCACATGAGACAAGTTTCTTAGCAGAAAGAAATCATGCCAATAGAACTGTTATCAGAAGAGCAGAATTATTTCCTGTAGCATCAACTCTGTCAAACTTAAACATCTACTGTGCAGGGAAATTTACACGTATCTGGACACCATTTCCTAAAAAATTGTTTCCAGAACGGCTAGACAGCACGAGGCCTTTCAAGCCTGCATAAAAAAGTAATCTAATGTTCCATAGCATATTTGGTGGATCTAAGCAGTTACAGGAGCCTTTCTAACTGCACTGTTGCTTTTCATCCACCTTAAATTACCAAATGTAACAATGTATGTAATAAAAAAATACTGTTTCTCTTCTACACTGTGTTCATTATCATTTCACTACCCAAAGTTTAGGTTTCTCTCTTTACTTGCTTTACTTTTTCCTATCCAAACAGAGGCACAAAGAGAGATTTTCCTGGTTTTTTTTTGCAATGACACCAATTCTGCCAAAACCTGTTTTCTCTGTTTGCCAGTACACTCACATTTAATTTCAAATAATTTCAATTTTAAGTGCCACAACCATAAAGTCTTCCCAAAACCGCTTCTCCATAGTCCACAGCTGTTTTTCCTATTATATCAGTTGAGTTCATTTCAGTTATCCCTCCTTTTTTCCTTGCAAAGGCACAACCAGAGTGATACTAAATACCCAGAGGGCTTCATCAGGAGGAGCAGAGGGGCTGAAGAACACCGCGAAAACGCTTCGCAGCAGCGCCCAGAAACCAAGAGTGCACCGAGACACCACGAAACCGGTTTAATCTACAAGTATTCAGACGATGCACACCAACGTTGTAGAGTGAAGCACATAAAACACACCCGCACATAAAACAGCGGCACGGCTGTCGCCCGCCAGCGGGACGCGGGTGTTACCGGGGCAGCGCCGGCCCGCGTGGCCGCTGCCCTGCGGCTCCGCCCGCCCGGGCCCCGCTGCGGCCGCTCAGCCCAACGCCGGGCGCTGCTGCCACGCGAGGCAGCTCCCGCCCAGGCCTGTTGGGCCCTGGGGACGCCGCCGCCACCGCCCCAGCCCCGCTCACCTGTGAGCGGCGGGCCCGCCGGCTCCCCCCGCTCCGTCCATCGCGGCCCCGCCGTTGCTATGGGCCCCCGCCCGCCGCTGCCCTTAGCAACGGCGCGCGGCACTGAGGCGCGCCGCCATTGGCCGGGACCGCGAGCACGCCGCCCGCCGATTGGCCGCGGCGCCGCGCACGCGCGGCGGAACGCAAGGCCCGCCCCCGTGGCTGCGTTCGGGAGGCGCCCGCCGCCTCCGCCAGGAGCGGGGAACAGTCCCGGCGGGAACCGCGTGCGGCACAGAGCCCTTGCCAGACACGCTTCCCCAGGGAAGACTGCCCCAAATGACCCCCCCACCCCCCTTTCCGTCGCCAAGACCCTCCCCACGCCCGCCCTGGCGTTTCTCGGAGGCGCTGCCAGGCGCAGTAGAGGGCCGGGCTGAAATCAGGTCCCCTCTTGGCCCCCTCAGGGCCATCGTCTGTCCAGGCGTGTCCTTGCACGCAGCGAGAGGCTGCTCCTGCCAGGTCAGGTGTGGGCCTGTCCCCTCGAGAGCTCCATGTTTGCCTTGACCAGGATGTCCGCAGCGCTCAGCTTCCCTTGCTCCCGCAGGTACTTCATTATGTGCGGCCGCCGCCTCCAGGTGACCTTCATTCCATACTCGTGCTCGGGAGTATCTGCAACCAGTACTGCTGCCGCCTCCCCTCTCCCACAGGGATCAATACCAAGCGGCAACGCTTCTTCTGGATGCCAGGCATGACTACTTGGTGATAGAGTGTTGCTGCATCTCCCATTCCTTGGGGAAGGAACCTGTGCAGCCTCTGCATCTGATGGACTAGGGACTTCTTGCTCCACAGGCTGGGGAGCAGGCTCTCCACAGTTCTCTGGACTCTTCACCTGGATGTTGGCATTTGCTGCTGTCCCTTTCTTAGGCTGGTTGGGAGAGCACCGTGCATTCTTTCCCAAGCAATTTGAATCATCCAATGGAGGGACTGCATGTCCTTTTGGATTCTCAAAAGTTAAAGGAGGAAATCTGCAGGCTACAGCTCCTCGACAAGCTCCTCCTGCATGAAATGAGCTGTGGTTGGCATCCTGATTATAGTACTTCTGAGGACCACGATGCTTCTTCTGGCGTGCTTTCAACACCAGTGGCTTAGTTGTGTCAAATTGTGGGCACACCTAAAGGGAAAGACATAATAATAAGATAAAAACCCAACCCTTTCCTACAGACAATTCTACCTCCCCACCTTTTTCCAGTGTGTTCATTGAGTAATCTGTTCTGCAGCAAAGCAAATGAGTCACTAACAAAGCTCCTATGCATGAGATACCTCTGAACTTCAACATCACGTTCTGCCACTGTTCTGTGGAAATCATTGGGGTGCAAGTGAGCTGATCACTGGCAACTCACAAAGAACTCAGGATTTGGGTTTTAAAGGAAGTCTAAGTGGTGTCTTCTCCTGTAAACCCTGCAGATTTAAGAAAATGGATCCTTTTTGTTTCTGTGTCTCATCATTACTCAGATTCAAAGAACTAAATCCTCAGCCTCCCCAAAGAAGTAGAGGCTGAACAGGGAGAGCAACACAAAACGATTGAAGAATGCCCACTTAGCTCAATCCCCTTAGATTAATGTTAATAGGGTGTTGAAAATCTTCCCCCCAAACATCTCTGTTTCAAAACAGAGTTAATTTCTGTATTGTGGAGCAACAGATCACCCAAAATCCACTTCTACAATCAGCTTCCTATAGAAAAGATGCTCCAAGCTCAACAGTCTATATTTCTTTGAATGATTCTGGACTCATACTCAAACCCTGGAAATCCTTTTATTATAGTGTTCTTTGTCTTCCTGGTTGTGAACAAAAAAGTCAGACTCTGTTTCAGATTCCAGTTTGCTTTTTCCAAGAGCACACCAAACTGAGTTCTTGCTATGGTAACTACACATGTCCTTCAGCATTCCTAAGTTACTGTATAGTTCCTAAAAACACTGGGTGCAATTTAACTAAGGATGGTGATTGTCTGATGTACAGCTGAACTGTTTGAATCCAAAGCCATTGTGCAGGAAAAGAGAAATGATTCTGTAGTAATTGTATACTAGCACATACTCAACATAGTTCCTGATTTTAAGGATATGTCTTCCTGGCTTCAGAGAACATGTAGGGTAGGTTTTACCCATGCAGGAACCTAGTAGTGGAAAAGGTGTGAAAAACTTAGATAATACCAAAAAGAGAGGAGCAGAAAATCAGTTTCCATTGAAACAAGTTGACAGACACTCTGCAGAGGATGCCTCTGAGAAATATTTAACAGTTTCAGTACTGATAGCTTCAAACAAATTTTAGAATACTTGTATTTTAGGAATCAAAGAGTAACCAGAGTGGATGTTTCCACCTCTTCCAAACAAAATGAATGCTTATTCACGGCAGTTATTTTACTTAGTGATTCACAAACTGTAGAGCTAACTGCCTCAAGCAGATACAAAAAAAATTTAAAGAGGAAAAAATGGAAGATGTCCTACTTCAAGGTTAAGGCATCACAAAAATACAAAGGAATGTTTCATGCAGGTCTGAAACCACACTTCCTGAGCTTGCTTTGTGAAGAGCAGAGCCAAGCAGCAGTAATGTTTAAACAGAGCTCCCCTAGGTGATGACTACTGTTGCATAGGAACAGTCTGTCTTTGCTGCAGCTGTTTGCTTAAAAAAAAAAAAGAAATCTTTACATTACACAATACAAGGAGTATTTTAGGACATGGCAAACAGTCCCAAGAAAATGAACCCATCAGAAGATTGGTATGGAGAGAAACTACTCAAAACACAGAAATGCAAAGAGGGCAGGTTAGAACAAATGATTCTGAAGTGAAAACCTATGTTCTCTAAATTTAGCAGTGTCAGATTTAAACAATACACCCAATACTTTAACGTGTAACATTTAGAGTTCAACAGTTATTTCAAACAGCAAGCCAATAAGAAAAATCTCCCCTAATGTTTATTTCGTGCAGGGTTTTTTGTCGCCAAGGAAAACAGTGTTTTCCTGATGGGAATAATTTTTCTAGAAGACAAATATTCATTAATCAGTAAATACTGCACACAGTTTATGTCTTCAACTAACCAAGACTTTAGTGCTTATTCTTGGAATGTAAAGCAACTCAAGCACTTATTTATGCTTTAGACTGATAGAGGGAATTCAGGTCTGGGCTAATAATTTTCCAGATCCAGAACAGGTAACTTTCTGTTAAGACATACAGGAGAAACTGGAAAACTGTTGCTGTGGGATGCAGGAGGAAAGATAATTTTTACCAACCCAGGCAGCAGAGGTGTTCAGGTCCACACGTTTTGTAGGCACACGTCTGGGATTCTCAGCCAAATGCAGTGGAGCTTCATAACAATGGATGGGTCCTGCCCGTGGCTGTTCAAGGAAAACCAGCTCTGCCTTCCTGGCCTTGTGGGTACACTTCTTCTTTGGAGGCATCAAAAGGTGTGGTAAAACTACTTAAAAACCTCATGATGCTTGTTGGAGCCAATTGAAGAAAGAAGGAAGCACCCCGAGGAGATGCTAAGGTGCTTTTGAATCTGTAGAAGGCAAATAAATTGATTTGAAGAAAGACTTGTTTGGAAACCTCAGAGACAGTTTTTAACAAAAGCAAAACATTTATGCAACAGCACAGCGTACAGATCTCGAGGCAGACTTGTTCCCAACAGTAGTTCTTGAACCTTTTGTCAATTTTTGGGTGGATTTAGAAATGCACTGCAGGAATGGGAGCAGATGACCTACTGATCCAGCTATGTCAAGTCAGGTATGAAAAGAAAAAAAAAAAAACAAACTTATTTTCTTTTTTTTTATAATTCAATCTTGCTTGTAATGCCAAGAAGATGATATAGGGGTAAGATAATCAGAACTCTTTCCCTTTCTGGTTGCTAACTACCTGTACGTTTTAACTTCTAGAGACTAAGTTCGGTTTTTTTTCTTTTTTACAAAACAAAGTTGACCTCTCCCTCCAGTACTCTACACATCTTTCGTGATTTGTTTGTTTTTCCTAATGAATAAGTTTCAACTGAAGTAACACTGTATTTAATTTTCTGTTGGAAAACACATCACAGAATCAATTAGGTTGGAAGACCTCTCAGATCATCAAACCCACCTATAACCAAACACCACCATGGCAACTAGACCATGGCACTAAGTGCTACACCTTCAAGAAAGTGACTCCACCTCCCTGGGGAGCCCATTCCAATGTCTAATCACCTTTCCTGTGAAGAACTTCTTCCTAATGCCCAACTTAAGCCTCCCCTGATGCAGCTTAGGACGATGTCCGCTTGTTCCATCACTGGGTGTCTGGGAGGAAAGATTAATCTCCACCTGGCTGCACCCTCCTCTCAGGCAGCTGTAGAGAGCAATAAGGCGTCCCTGAGCCTCCTTTTCTCCAGGCTGAACACCTCCAGCTGCTCCTCATGGGACTTGTTCTCCAGACCAGCTCTGCTGTCCTTCTCAGGACCCACTCCAGCACCTGAATGTCCTTCCTGAAGTGACGGGCCCGGAACTGGACACAGCACTCTGAGTGCCCCATCAGTACGGAGGAGAGAGGAACGATCCTTGTCCCGGTCCTGCCTCCCACGGTATTGCTGATACAGGCCAGGTGCCATCGCCCTTCCTGGCCACAGCTAGCTCACATTCACCCGACCTGACTTATCGTAGATCAGCACACACAAGGAAATTTGATAACATTTCCTGAACAACGTACGAGACTGCAACAGCCTGACCGCTTACCTAAGTGGCGGCCCGCTCAGGGGGTCCTGCGGGCCCCGCTAGCCCGCTGCAGCCGTGACACACACGTTAAACGGTAAAACCCCGCAGCTCTTCACCAGGAATCAGCGCGCTGTCAGCGGCCCCGGCGCACGGCAGGGCTCCCAACCGCGGGCAGCATAGTTGAAGGAAGCTGCCGGCACTACCCCAGCCGGGCCGGGAGCGGCTGTCCCGGAACAGGGTCGGGCTGGACAATGCGGACGCGGCGGCGGCGGCCTGGGCTCCGTCCCGCCCGCACATCCGTATCCCCCGCCGCCGCCGCCGATTGGCCCGGCCCGCCGCGGCCCCGCCCCCTGGGCGCCGATTGGCCTGGCCCGGACGGCCCCGCCCCCGCCGCCGCTCACTGGCGCAGGCCGGCACGTGACAGGGCCAGCGCTGCGCCGGGCGCCAAATTCAAACCAGGGCCGCTCCGGGAGTGCCGGGGCCGCCGCCGCCCTGCATCGGCCCTGCCCCGGCCCGGCAGCTGGTGAGTTCCGACCGCAGCCCGCCACCATCCTCCGGGGACCCTGGCAAGGGTCGGCACCCCTTGGCGGGCCGCGCTAAGGCTACCGCGCGGGCGGGAGAGGGCAGGGCCTGGGCCCGGCCGGGGCGGCAGGCCCCGCGGGAGCAGGTGAACTCGCTGGCCGGGGCGGCAGCGCAGGGGCTGGAGCGGGGGAAGGAGGAGCTGGGAGGGCTTTGGCGCTGCCCTCCGTGCCCCCTCGGGCCAGCGCGCACACAGCGGCGCTCCCGGGCCTGTGCGGGGGTAGCAGATGGAGGCCTCCTTGGGAAGTGACGCGCTCCTGTTCCTGCTCACAGGAACGCAGCCTGGGGGAGGCTGGCGCAGGGTTCCTCTTTCGGCGCTGACTCTCCTTAAGGGGGTGGAGCAGATCGCAAAGGGCCATGCTTGTGCCGGCTGCCAGAACCCGCGTGGAATGGTCGCCGGGCTGTCTGCTCCCTGTGCATAGGGCATCAGCTCAGCTTGTTATCTGCTGGACTCTGCTTTGTATCAATTTAGGAGATTCGTACTGAGAATTTTCTCGTTTACTTGCTGACCCCGTCAAATCTACCAATGCAAAAGGCCTCCTTATTTGTTTCTATTCTGCTTGCCATCTCTAATGATAAACAATAAGTACAATTTGTATATTGTTCTGGTGTAGTTTGCAGAAAGGCACAGGCTCCACCGAATTCCCGATGGCGTTATTAGCAGTATTCTCACAGCATCTTACCCTGGAAGCAGTATCTCTGAATTTTATTTCCTCTGCTTCCAGCTTTATAGTCTAAACCACCTCTTGTCCAAAAGTTTGACATCTAAATTGTATGCTGCCCAATGACGAATTTATGTCAAATCTTAACAAATCTATGAAAAGAATTAGAAGTACATTTACTTGGTGTCTAGCTTCTTAAAGCACCTTACTTCTGCTGCATTTATTGTGTGTCTTTGTAGTGTTCAGGGTAATCTCTGCTTCCCAGATCTTAAACCATCTGTAAATTCCCTTTTCATGCAGGTTGTGTAATCTGCTGCTTAGAGCAATCAACTGTAAGAGTCAGCACTGCTATTCCTATATTCTACCTCCCCTCCAGCTCGCTGGCTGACGCTGGTCACGTTATAGTCTTTCTGTAAAGCACATACACACTTTGCTCATTATTATGTACTTTATGATGGAAGTTACCTACTCTGAAAATCTCTTTCCCATCCTGCTTACACAAGGTGTGGGTTAGGAAGGTATGATTTCTCAGTAGCCATGTCAGCCTTATTAAATGCTTTCAATTTTAATTTTCCTTTTGTGTTTCCAGCTTTGTAGCAACTGCTGAGAATGTGTGCTGTGTGGGAGGTCTTGAGATGATTTGCTGCAGCCTTTATGTTGTACCTTTTGTTTTGCAGGATTTGTTCCTCTCCCTTTCAATGGAGAGTGACAGTATAGACCAATAATGAGGACCAGCCCCCGCAGGCCCTTAATTCTCAAAAGACGAAAACTGACCCTCCCACAGAACGATGAATCCAGTACTTCAGCAAGAGATGAGAACAGAGGTCAGGATGAAAAGGCTCCTAAGCAGGAGCACAGACAGGAAGACCAACACAACAGACAAGCCAGTGACAAAAGGGACTGTGGCCTGCAGAAATTCCCAGCAGGAATAAAGATAATTGACCACCCTACAATGCCCAACACACAGGTGGTGGCCATCCCTACAAATGCTGATATCCAGAGCATCATAGAGGCATTGACAGCAAAAGGAAAAGAGTGTGGCAACAATGGACCCAACAAGTTCATTCTCATTAGCAGTGGGGGCACATCCCGTTCAGCTGGTCCAGCACCATCGCAGCATCTCCCATCAGAGAAGAAAGCCAGTGCAGCCATCAAGGCTGCAGCTAGTCAAGAAAGAGAGAAGAATGTTGCACAGACACCTGGTCTTGCAGGCAGTACGGCGCTCTGGCATTCAGGAGTTGATCCTGTGGTTGGACAGGAGCAGGAGACCAACAGTATGTAGCCTTAAGCTGGTTTTTTGTTGTTTTTTTTGTCCTGACAGACAAGGAGATGTGAAATGGGCCAAAGAGTGCAGCACTTTCTCCTTGATTTGCAGTAATTATTAATATTTTGTTAATTACAAAATAACTATGGATTGGATTCTAATAATCTACCTAGCTTTGCATATGTAGTGAAATCTGAAGGATTATAGTAGACATATTTTTTTGGTGGAAGACATCTGAGCTTCTGACTTAAGTTTTGTGCTGTCTTTCTATTTCTTGAAATATTAGATCAACATTGTCCTGTTTTGATTGACAGTAGTCTGGTTTGAGTGTTTTTAAGGCTGCAGCTCTTTTCAGAAATTGGGCAACTACACATGAAATCAGAAATTCGAGGTGAATTCCTCCCACAATATTAGTGTTGCAATATCATCTTTTAGCAGTGTAACTGGTGCCTTCCTTTTGACAGCTGAGATGAAGGAGTAGCAGGGTCACTTGTGGCAAAGCAGGGTTATGATGAGGGGAAGGCTGTAGCCTACCTGGGCTTGAGTAAAGCCTTTGATACTGTCTCCCACAGCATTATTCTGGAAAAGCTGGCAGCCTCTGGCTTGGTCAGGTTGACTCTTCACTGGTTTAAAACTGGCTGGATGTCTGGGCCCAGAGAGTGGTGCTGAACTGTGCTGCATCCAGCTGGTGACCAGTCACTGGTGGGGTTCCCCAGAGCTCAGGGCTAGGGCCAGTCCTGTTCATTCTGGATATCAATAATCTGGATCAGGGGATTGAGGGCATCCTCAGTAAATTCACAGATGACACCAAGTTGGGTGGGAGTGTGGATCTGCTGGAGGGCAGGAGGGCTCTGCAGAGGGATCTGGACCAGCTGGATCTATGGGTTGAGGCCAATTGTGTGATGTTCAATAAGACCTGGTACCAGGTCCTGCAGTTGCATTGCAACAACCCCAGGTAGTGCCACAAGCTGGGGCAAGAGTGTCTGGAAAACTGTCCAGCAGGAAAAGACCTGGGGGTACTGGTCAACAGCATCTGAACATGAGCCAGCTGTGCACAGGTGGCCAAGAAGGCCAGTGCACCTGGCCTGTACCAGCAATAGTGTGTCCAGCAGGACCAGGGCAGAGATTGTCCCCCTGTGCTTGGCACTGGTGAGGCCACACCTTGAGTTCTGTTTTCAGTTTTGGGTCACTTATGTCAGGAAAGACACTGAGGTGCTGGAGGCTGTCCAGAGAAGGACAACAGAGCTGGTGAAGGGTCTGCGGCACAAGTCTGATGAGGAAGAGCTGAGGGTGCTGGGGGTGTTCAGCCTGGAGAAAAGGAGGCTCAGGGGAACCTTATCCCTCTCTACTCTCTCTCAATTGCCTGAAAGGAGGCTGTAGAGTAGTGGGGGCTGCCTTCTTCTCCTAGACATCAAATGACAGGACAAAAGGGCAAAGCCTTAAGCTGTGCCAAGAAAAGTTCAGATTGGACATCCTGAAGAATTTCTTCCCTAAAAGGATTGTCAAGCATTGGAACAGACTGTCCAGGGAGGTTTGGAGTCACCATCCCTAGAGGTGTTCAAGAAATAACTGGATGCTGCAGTCAGTACCATGGTCTTGTTGATAAGGTGGTGTTTGGTCACAGGTTGGACTTGATGGTCTTGGAGGACTCTTTTAACCTAAATTATTGTGTGATTGTTACGTGGGCTTGTTATCCCAACAGGAAGTGGCGAGACAATGAGCTCTGTGTTGGACAACAGCCTCACCAACATCCAGTGGCTGGGGAAGATGAGATCCGATGGGCTGAATCCCTCTTCTGTGAAGGAGGACACTGAGAAAGAAAATCAGATGCCTCTGCGGGAAAGAGTCAAGGTAAGTAGGAGAATACAAGAGCATGTGCTAAAACTTTTGATAAGGCAGTAATCTACATGGATCAGAATACTTGCAAAAATTAAGCATTGCTATCTCTAAGTAACCTGAGTTTGACCTTTACTGATATGAATAGCAGAACACAGAGGATCCAAGAATGTTCCACAGGCCTTCTTGTCAGCTTCATGAACATTCATGTATCACCCCTTCTCTCTTTCAGACTGAAGAGGAAGCTGCTGCTGCTGTTCCTACTGCTGCTGAGTCCTCCTCATGGCAGGATTCGGTGTCAGAACGACCTCCTTACTCCTACATGGCCATGATCCAGTTTGCCATCAACAGCACAGAGAAGAAGCGCATGACCCTGAAGGACATCTATACCTGGATTGAGGATCATTTCCCTTATTTTAAACATGTAGCTAAGCCAGGTTGGAAGGTAACAAGCAGGCCCTCAAGTTGCTGTGGGTGATGTTACATACCTTCTGGATCAAAATGAAAAGTTGTTCCCCAGCCTGCAAAGCAAGATGGAAGGTCATTTAAACATTCCACCCCAAATGCACTCTCACTCCAGATGTTCACTGTACCACTTCTTGTATCTCTTGCCTCATCCTACTTAAACAAGATGATGGGATGTTTGATCACTGGAGTGAGAATGGGGATGTCAAGAGTACATAGAATAAGAGACTGAAGACAGGGTTGGCTGGGTACCCTGTGAACATGAAAGTTTGGTGTTGTCTGCACTTTGGAATGTAATCCCTCTGCTAGGGGCGTTTGAGGTAGGCCTTGCTGTGCTGATAACAAAACTACTGCTTTTCAACCTCCCCCTCTCTTCTTCCTCCACAGAACTCCATCCGGCACAACCTGTCCCTTCATGATATGTTTGTCCGTGAGACGTCTGCCAATGGTAAAATCTCCTTCTGGACTATTCACCCAGATGCAAACCGCTGCCTAACATTGGACCAGGTATTTAAGGTGAGTTGCCTCATGCAAAGAAAATAGGACAGGCTATCCAGTTTCTAAATGCCACAATAGCTTGATGCACCTTATTTTAACTGTAAGGTCAAGCTGCTTTGACATCAGCCTCTTTGTAGAAGCTGGATTCAGTCACTTCACTTAACAAATACACAAGCTCTGCATTTGAAAGAAAAGGTGCTGTGGCTGTGCTTTTGATCTGGAGCTTCTGTAGCATGTATTTATTCTTCATGTTCTGTGCCAAATATAATAGTCAGGTTGTTCAACTTCTTACCGTGGGCCTGATTTAAATTCCTAATGAGAAGATTTCTGCTGAGGCCAACCAGGTGTTCCTATGCTGTTTGATAAGTCAGTCACAGGGTGGAAGTGTCCTAGCCCAAATAGCTATTTTAGGAAGATTTTGTTAGGGAAATAGAGCTTTGGAGACTAGTGTAGGTGTGTTTAGACTCTTGTATTTTCTGTAGTGGGTGGGTAGAATTAACTTGTGTTTGCTCAGAATGTACAAGTTTAAAATGACCCATTTGTCTCCCTCTTTGGTTGATAACTTCATCTTAAATTTTTTTCCTGCTCAATGCCTTCTGCCACCAGCCGCTGGACTTGGGGTCATCAGCATCGCCTGAGTACTCTGAATCAGTAAGGATTACCATCTGGCTCGGGGCTTGATCTTCCATTCTCTTCTTGCCAGTCACTGAAGAAAGGGACAACAGGCTTGGGAGGGGGACTGGGTCACTGCTGCATCTACTCAAACAGCTCTATGCTTACCCTCTGTGGGGAGAGGGGTCTAGCCAATGTTTGACTGCCTTCAAATGGTACAGTCTCTCAAGCTGGTAAAGCTGGACAGCTTTGAACAACTTGGCAGTCTACTGCTGAAGTAGGCTGCAATGGACACCAGTAGGCTTCAGAGAACAAGCCCAAATAGATTTCTGGTAAAATCATCTCCATGGCAACAGTTCCAATATGTTCTGGGGCTCAGATCCAGAGAGAATAGGATCTCTCTGTGCTCCTTTTTCATTTTGGAACCCACTGCATTGTGAGTGACTCTTGGAAGGAAGAACCTGTTTGCTGTTGCTCTCGCATTCAGCTGTTTTAACAGTGAAAAATTTGTAAACATCCAGTCAAACACTTTTCTGTCACAGCTACAACCTTGGCCTTCTTTCCAACTACTCAGAATTCTGATCCCATTGTTGCCTCTGCTATTCCATTTGAACACCTATCGGGTCTATGGTTTGTACAGACATCCAATATACAATAAAGCCATCCTATTCATTGTTCCTCGGGCACTGAGGGTGCCGAAACCAGCTCCCTTCTGCAGTAGAGTCTACAGCTGGAGCAGCTCTGTCATGTTGTCTCTCTTCCTACACAGCTTTTGGTGGGCAGCTGGCTTTGGGATGGCATGGCTGCAAACCAGCAAGTGGCACAGGCCTAGAGCCAGCCTAGTGCTGGGTGCTAACAGCTGCTCTCTTTGCATTAGTCCAGCACAGACCTCTGGTTTCACAGTTCTCAGTGAGGCAGCAGAATAAATGTAGATTCTTTTAATCTCTCTCTTTTCTCCTTCTCCTCTTACTTATCTCACAATGACTGCAGCAACAAAAGAATCGTCTTCCAGATCCTCTGAAGAGCATGGGAAGCAAAACTGAACCCCAGAATTCACGTAAGTGTCCCCAGCAGTCTAGGCCAAAGAGAATAAAGCCAATAAATCTGTGGCATTCTCCCAGATTTCTTTAGGAATATATGTGGAGTGTGTTGTCCCTGTTTGCCAGCTTTTATGCTCCTTACTGTCAGCTTTAAAATGGAAAGCAGTGTTGTTGTGTCTGAGGGGATGTGATGGTGAGATGGTGGGCATTGGGCACTCAATGGAGTGAGAGGCCAGACCTGAGGGGTAGGATCTGCATCAAAGGTTATTTTCTTGTTCATGAGGCTTCTGGCTTAGTATTTGTATCCTTAAAATTAGCAGAGAAGGCAAGTGATCTGATCAAATGTTTCTTTTGGGATGTCTAGAAGGACTTTCTGTAAGGTGCCTGGGTTCCAAGAGGTAGCAGTGGAGAACAGGCAAAAGTGAGTCCCTTCTTTTCCCTTCCAGGCCGAAAGATGAAGCCTTTGCTTCCTCGTGTCAACTCCTACCTGGTTCCAATCCAATTTCCTTTGAGTCAGCCTCTTGTCTTGCAGCCTTCTGTGAAGGCACAGGGAGCATCCCTTAACAGCTCAGAGACTTTGCAGAGCAATAAGCGTGTGTGCATTGCTCCAAAGGTTGGTTTCTTGCTTTCCAAGGAGTTTTCAGGGGCGTTAGTGGGGGGGGGGGTTCCTGTTTTTGTTTTGTTTTTGGTTTTGTTTTTTTTTTTTTTATAAGGGGTGCAAGGAGGGGGCTAAGGAAGGTGTGGGGATTTTTTTTTAAGAAGGGATGAGTTTGTTTGGATTTTTTGCTTACTTTTTTTTATCTCTTGCCTTCAATGAACCTTTTCTTCATATGGTTCCTTCTTTGTGCATCTTTACTTAGGTGCTCTAAAACTCCAAGTTCCTATCAAGGAACTAGCTAGTGATAATCCTTGCTATCCTTTACTGTCTCTAGGCTGACTACTACCTGCTAGTTTATTTGCTCTAAGGATGTTTCCCTAATTCATTAGAGGAAGGGGCTCTATGGTTTGGTCAAGACAATTTTTCTTTATTGCTGGGATGTGAAGAAAGAAGAATGGGAGGAATGGCTTTGTTCTGATCCTAAAACATTCATATTTTTGATAGCTCTATAGACAAGTAACAGTAAGGAACTTCTGAAAGGGTATATATTTCATGGAGTCTCTTCCCAGAGGATTTCCATATCTGCTGTTTGCTAATTCTGTGAAGTTCAGTTATTCTGGGCTCAAGAAAAACAGCTATTAAACAGATCTTTTTCTTGGCATTCACTGACTGCTCTTGAATGCTTAGACATTGTAAAGCTTTAGCTTCTTCCATCCTGTCTAACCATAATCCTATTTTCCTTTGTATGCCTGCTGCTTTATGTTCTCTCCAGCTATGATTTATCTTTCTCCTGTGCTCTTTTTCTTTTGATAACCTCATTTTTTTTCTCTTCCTTTTCCTTGGTTTCTGGGAAAGCTGTCCTCATTCATTTTGTTATTTTCATTTAGATAATGTAGGAAAAAATCAAAGGGGTTATATTTTTTCCAGAAATATTCAGCTCTCCTTCTGCCTGTACTCCCAGAAGTTCCTCAGAGCAGGAGTGCTCTGAAGGGTATGACTTTGTCACTTAGCTAGAATCCTTCCCATGTGATCCTTAGGCTTCTTTCTATCAACTTCACAGAGATCAATCTCAGTCTGTTATAATTACTGCTTCCTGAATATCTTCCTCTTACCCTCTCTGCTGACCTTAAATGCCAGTCTTTTCCTTTTCTTTCCACTGTTATTTGGATTTTTGGGTAGCTGAGATCCTTGCTTACTGACTGCATGTCACCTGTGTTTCACTGTAGATGTCACTGTCTGCAGAAGAGTCACCCTGTTTACCCCCAGCTGCTGTCAAGGAGGAAGGTCAATGTGATGCAGGTTTATTTTCCCCAACCCACTCCATACAGGAGAACAGCTCCCAGCCTGGTGAGGAATTGTCTTCTTTCCCAGAGGGTGCCTGTGTGAAGGAGGAAGAAGGCTCTCAGCTGGATCCCTGGCTGTCCCCATTTGCCTCAACTGTAACAGTCAAGGAAGAGCCAAGCTTGTTCTTCCCAGACTCATCCACAAAGGAGAGGAAACAGTTCACCACACTCAAGTCCCCACCTAAGGCAGTTTCTGACTCTTTAGTTATAAAGAGGAGAGAAAGGCGGGAAGTGGGCAGGTCCAGAAGGAAACAACGCCTAGCACTGCCTTGTTCAGAAGAGCCTGTCCTTGTTCTGCCAGAAAGCAGCAGCTTGGACCCTTTCCGGTTAGGGGCAGAGTGTCCCTTTCCCCAGGAAAACCAGCCCCTTGAGAACATATCACAGCTCAGCTGCTCACAGGGAGAAGAGGGGGCCTTTAAAACACCAGTCAAAGACATCTTCAGCAAATTGCCCGTTTCTTCCACTCCCAGCAAAGTTTCAGCCACTACTACCCCCTCACTAGAGGCCCTTGATCCCTGGAAGTCTGCTTCCTTAGCCAAAGGAAGTCATGAGCTGGACTTCAGTCCAGTGAAAACCCTTCAGTTGCCATTCACACCCCTCCAGGACAACCAGGACTTGCTGGGTTTTAACAGCACACCCCTTAAAAATCCTCTCTTTGATTCTCCTCGAGAACTGCTCAATACAGAATCCAGTGACATGGTCCTTGTGCCCCTCACGAGCTCTCCAGCATTTATTCGTGACACTTCCAAGCAATCCTCTGTTGAACTGACAGCCTCTGGCTTTACTGAAAACAGGTCACTCATGGAGGGCCTTATCCTGGACACCATGAATGACAGCCTCAGCAAAATCCTTCTGGATATCAGCTTTCCTGGTCTTGAGGATGAAAATTTAGGAACAGACATTAGTTGGTCTCAGCTCATACCTGAACTGAAGTGAACTGGCCTGAGGACTGAATTTGACTTGTTCTGATGTTAGAGAAAGAACTGCACTCTTCTGAGATTCATTCATGTAATCCAAGACAACTGCTTTTGACTAGTTCCATGTCCATGGGAGCAGAGAGCACTGACTCCTGCTAAGCTGGGAAACAGCCCCATCAGCTGCTATGGGCTTGCTTTCAAGATGCTGTAGACTTTGAGTGGAACAAGATGATAGAATTTCTCTAGCTTTGTGCTAGAGATAGCCTCTCTCCAGGGATTCTTATCATGAGAACATCTACCTAGGCCCTGAATGGCATTTGCTATTCAAGGTATCAGAGGAAACAATAGTACAATAGGAAAGAGCCTGGGAACCTCCTCCTAGCTCTGTCCTAATATCCCTTTACTTTGTATCCCCTATTACTTAGCATCTTCTGTCTAGTTTTAATGGCTGTAAATACTGTACATTCCTTAAATTAGCCCTTAATTATAATAATAATTTTATTATTGTAGGGTTATGGGAATATTTGGCCTGGTAAGGGTTTGACCTATAGTGTGTTGTCCATATGTTCACATCTCTTGTATTCTTCTACCCTAGTTGAAAGCCCAATTATTTTTTTTTTAAACTTCAAAACCACATTGATCTAGGTTGTCCTGAAGGTGGTGGGACGAAGATCTGAAAAATTGTTTATATGTGACCCAAGTCAAACTGAAACAGGTTATCTGGATTGCAGCATAAAATCTTGGTTTGGATTCCTTTTCCCAGGCTGGAATGGAGAAGAGCATGGATCAAGCCATATAGCAGCTCTTCTGATTCCAGAGGTCTATTACATACCTAGAGGACTAGGTAGAGACACTTACAGTAAGATGGACTTCTGTTGAATGGTTAAAGCTGCCCTCATTACAGTCAGCAGTTCAAAATGTGAAAGGGAATATAAAATATAATATATTCCCTTTAAATATCAAGGGAATGCTGATATTTCCACTAAAAATTCACTTCTGGAAACACAAGGTATGTATTGCTTGGTGCAATAGAATAACTCCTCGTTCTCTAGAACTTAAGTCATGGAAAAAATTACCATGGCAAAGATCTGATCCTTCTGCTTGCAGACAAATGGTGACTCCTGTATCCAAATACTCAATAAAGCTTCTGTGGGAACACAGCTGAGTGTTATCTGTACCACCCCTAGCAGCCTGCTGGGATTGGCCCATGGCACGAGCAACCCCTTCTTATCTCATGTCTGTGTGCTTTGTGATCACTGAGTGAGTGACCATTTGGACATTTTCAGGCCTTCTTGGCCAAACCACATCAGATTTAGTTAACCCACTGCTTCATAAAACACACTTTTTCCTGCTGCTTATGGGTAAATCCTGGCTGAGTCAGAAGCATACAAACATCACAACACCCCCCAGACTAATCTCTTTATCTTCTAAATGCAAAACAAATATTTCTTGAAAGTATTTCTACCTTCCCCTACAAACATAAAACCAGTTTTAGATGTGTGTGTGGGTATCAGAACCATAGTGCTCCTGTGTACTTGTTAGAGGTTATTTGCCCTCATAAAATGTTTCTAAACTTTGGTTTAATGGTTATAATTTCAGTCTTTCTGGGGTTACAAGGCTGCAGAAGGGGCCTGGTTTTGCACACTTTCTACTAGTACATCTTACACAGCTGTTAACACTCTGCTTGGCTCTCTCAAGGCATCTTCTCTCCCTTTCATCTCACTTCTTGCTCCTGAGAGGATGTGTGCACATAACTGACAGCTGAAAGCCAGCTAAATAAGATCATGTCTCCAGCAAATACTGAAATTTTCTTGTCCTTGGTATCAATTCCAGGCAGGTGATCCCCTGCTGTCTGTCCCTGTCATCTGAGGTGCTCTCATGGCCACCTCACATTTTATTTTGAACATAATAGTGCCAAAGTTTTCTTTCCCTTCTTGTTATGTCTTCTGGTGAGAGCACTGCTCAAGGCCAATTGTATCAAAAAAGATGGAGGGAACAACGGAAAAAATTACAATAAGCAATTCTGCCTCTTGCTCCCAGAAGAGATGTCCCAGTGTTTTGGCCAAAGTAGTTGAAAGCACCAGTTGGTGAGGATTTAATCACAAAATATGACTATTTCTCTCCATTTATGTTTGCCTGATATTCTGCCTGGATGCTTTCCTTAAGGAAAGGCAGTTATCACCTGTCCCTCTGCAGGCTCAGAATTAGGGTTATAGTGTAGAGATGTGATCTTGTCAGACAGTGGCTGCCTCTGTCCCCCCTCCTGCAGTAAGAGCAGGGCCATACTTCATGTCTCCTCATCAGCCCAAGAGCAGGAAGGCACAGCTCTTCACACCCTTTGCACAGCACTCCCAGGGCTTCTCTGAGTAACGTGTAGGAGCATCCCAGGACTGTCCTTGCATTCTGATAATAGACAAAGCTGTTTAACACCTTCCAGCCTGTAAAAGCAAACACTAATTTAGGATAAAAATTTTAAGGGATCTGGGACATGCAAATCTACAGGGAGCCAGCAAGTGCTGTGGATGCTCTGCTCCTCTGACAACTCTGCTCAATACCTGGAGTGTGACAGACCCAAAGGAGAAGGTAATTCCCTTTCAGTGGTTGAGTTTTGTCAGCTGCAAAGGACTGGATGCCCCCTGAGATGAGGTAAGCAGGGACAATTGCCACCCTTTTACTTTTGCAGCTTGGCTGGTAGCAGAAAAACTTGATCACTTCCCCATATGGAAGAAAAGAGACCCTGTTTTACATTGCAGAAATCTTTTTATGAGAGTGCCAGGCCTTCATTTCTCCTAGAAGGCAGTCTAGCTCTTAACAAAGGTGAATTTTTTTTTTTTTAGTAAAGTACCTGACTTCCTCTTCAAGATGCACAATAGACTCAGAGAGAAAAACGACGGGGTTGAAAAATGTGAGCTGGTTCCTGAACAGAAATAGTTTCTCTCCCCACTCCCCTTATTCCAGAAGAGGTGAGCTACAACTGGATAAAAAGATATTCAGAGCATAACAAAGTATTAGCTGCCTGAGATTAAGAAGAAAATGTCCTGCTTCACTACTCGTCTCAGACTGACTTCTTGCTTTGAAACAAGCAGTTTCAGAATGTCAAGACCATGAATCTGAGCTGCTGATGCAGGTAAAATGACACATTTGTCCTTGTGTTTCAGTTACAACACTTCTTGGAAAAATAAGCATAATAAATACCCAGTTACAGTTTACAGGCAAAAGATTATGCAAAGCAGATTCTCTTCCACATCTTAAAATCTGTGGGAAGTCATTATATAGAGCACACTGATGAACTGTTTGCATACAAATATATAATCAGAATTATTTATCCACATCTGCTTTTTTTTTTTTTTGATGCACCAAATTTAAAACCAGAAACATCTAATGATGTTATTTAATAAAGTCAAGGAAAACAGCCAGCACAAATTATTTTTGAACTGCAGTCAGACATGGATTTATGCTCCAGTGCCTGCTGTTGGTCTCTGTTACCTTCTCATGCACGTAAAGGAGGTTGCTGCCAACAGGGTCTCTGTTTATTTAGCTGTGAAATTTGTAGAAGGTAGGTTTACTGTACTCATCTGTGGTTATAAATATGAGATTGGCTCATTAGAACCCTGACTGTTTAATGGATGAAAAAATTTTCCAACAGGACAAAAAAACCTCATCTTCACTGGACTTGGGAAGAATCTCTTAATATTGTTGATATTGTCCATAGAACATTGTTTATCACTACCACTAGGGTATCTTTTCTTGTGCATTGTATTCCTTCACATTTGATGTATTTTTCTGTAAATTTTAATAATGACAAAATTTTGGATAATATCATTATGCAACAGGCCAGACCATTCCATCTCAACTTTATACTTTCTCATGAAGCAACATGTTTAGATTACTTACATGTTTTGGGGGTTTTCACTCTGAATTCTGAGATTGCATGTTTATCTATGCACAAAGCTATTTTGCATTCTGGAATTATGTTTCAGCAGAAATTTCTATTGTGGATAATGCATGTATATTGCAAAGCCCTGAAACACTTGATTTAGGAGAATTTATATTAGTCTGCTAGTCTAATCTGTCCTGAGTTATCAACATGTACTTTCCACTTCAAGCTTCACTTTAGGAAAGCTTTTGTTTGAAGCAGTTTTGCCTGCTCTCATGGTAGCATTAAAGTTTTGGACAATTTGATATATTTAGTATCCAATCCAACTCCTCCATGAGGGGAAGAAAGGTCAGGAATGCAGCAGAACTCACACCATAATGCACATCCCTTGGAACTTGCAGGATCACCGGAGATGCCTTCAGCATCAGTATGGTGTTCCAAGTATTTGCAAGTAATCATGTCAGTGACACAGAATGGTCTGATTCCACATTTCTGAGGAGCTCCATGCTGTAGCTAATTAGTTCCTGACAGTCTGCACTCTGCTATGCATACCCAAGGGACTGGCATGCTACAGTGATAAGAGCTGTTTTGTTCTTTCCCATGGCTGACTCTCAGGTTTTATGTATTTGCTGTTTTATTAAAATCTTGAAGTCAGGAGACCATGAGATAATCTCAGCTGCCATCTAAATCATGCCAAGGCCTAACCATCAAGAATGTAACAAACAGCTGGTGCACATAACAAATGCAGCTCAAAGGCTAGGAAACCAAAGGAGTCCAGTACTTAAAATCAAAAATAAAATTACATTGTTACAGCAGCATTATTATCCATCAAATCCCTGGGGTGATAACACATCCCTCTGCCACTGTATGTGCATTGTGTACACAAAGCTGCTTCTGCACTACAAGTACTACTGTGCTGGTGATTCCATCATAAAATCCTGAATTGTCTGAGCAGAAAATAGCCAAAATGAATATCAGCCTCAGGTAGAGTTATTCTGCTGCGGACAGAAGGGACAGGGAACACAGGGAATGCAGTTCAAGCAGCCCAATTGCTTCTATAAATAAGAGCACAAGAATATTTTGCTCAGATTAAAAAAAACTTTTGTAGCAAACCTTTTCTTGAAAAGACCTAGCACCTCCTC